TATATATATATATATATTTATATTTTTTTTTCACTGTGAATAGTTCTTGCATTTCATTCATTATCATTCCTAATTACAGTAAAGATAACAAAATGTTAATTTGTAATTATGTATCGACAAACGACGCGCCTTTGATATACGAAGATTTTTTTTACGCGCAACTAAGCTGCAAAAAATATCCGATAAAAAGTTGCTTTGGATGCCGACTCTCATACTGATCCCAAATAAAGTTATATTTAAAATATGCATTTTATTCGACCACCTTGCCTGCTATAATTATCGATATCTTTGGAAGATGCATAGGTATTCGGCAAAGGTATACGAAACTCTATCGTGTCTACGAAAAAGTACTCGTGTAAACATTGCCTCGCTTGTTTCAGAGTGTGAAAATTGTACCAACGAATTCACGAATTTTGCAAAATCCTCGAATATTTTATGGTCAGAGAATGGACCTATAACGGCAATAACATCCATGCAATATGGCAAAGCATGAGCGAAAGTGATCAGCTTCTATTTAATTTTAATATGAAAAGTTTTAAGTTCTAACCGAAATATGGAGACATTGTTATCAAAGTTATGCGCCTTCACATGCTCAAGGAAGATCTCAGTACTTTGGAGGCCATTCGTATCAAATGGAACAGGTGCGATTTATTTTATTTTAATTCGACGAAATAACACAAGATGAAATAAAAGAGAGAGTGATGCAAAGGTTTATTCAAATTCTGAAATTTTATGTTAAAGTTTAAAATAATATTACGAATTTCATATTGTATGGTATACACCACGCGACGAACTTAGTATTTATATTCATCGTCATTGTGTGTACCTGTAACCTATTAGCAAATATATTCTTTGCAAGCAGCACGTAAACGTTTGAGGAACGTTCGCTTTTCATTTCACTTGGTTTGGTTATATTCAAACAAAGTAGGAACGTTCGAAAAACAGACGTTTAAGAACCTTTAATATACAGGGTGTCCCAGACCACCCGTCTCACCCGATTTTTTCATAAACGCGACATTTTAAAGAAAAATGTTTCAGACAAAAGTTTTGTGACTTCGAAGGGCACATAAGATGGTGTCATTGGTTTGACCTCGGATAGTCGTTTGAAGATCACGTGAAGGTCACCTTTAATTTCTTAAATAGAAACCCTCATTTTTCAATGCATATTCTTGTAGCTTACCTCGAGAGCTTTCCAAAACGCTATAATGAAATGTTTTTCTAATCAGTACTTTTCGAGTTATGAGGATTGAAAGTTACGGTACCGCCGGCATTAGCATTACCCAAGGTGGAGGTTGCACGGTCGGATTTACACCTCTTTGTGTGTTGTGTGTTTGTGTGTGTGAATGTGTGTGTGTCAACAGAGATAAGGACCCCACGGTTGTTCGTTTTCATGGAAAATTCGCCAGATCGTGTTGCGACTAATTCCAGAATCTCTTTTTGTACGTCTTAATGAATGGCAAGGATGCAATTGAGCGGATGCAAGAATCTCCGGCATCCTTTCATCTTTAACTTCGCGTCGAATTTGTCTACCTTTATTGTGATCCGGTTGAAGAATACCTTTATTGGTAATTCGGTTAGCTAAGCGAGAAAAAACTTTGTACGAATGAGGAGCGCGATCTGGGTATCGTTCTCGCCACAATCTTGCAGCTGCTTTAAATTGACCATCACATTTACCTAATAAGCATCATATCACAAGCTTCCACGTTTGAATACGACATGGCTGGTAAATGAGAATTTTGTTACACCTTACGTGACAGTATCAGACATGTCATACATCACGACTGGGTAATGCTAATGCCGGCGGTACCGTAACTTTCAATCCTCATAACTCGAAAAGTACTGATTAAAAAAACGTTTCATTATATTGTTTTGGAAAGCTCTCGAGGTAAGCTATAAGAATATGTATTGAAAAATGGGGATTTTCATTTAAGAAATTAAAGGTGACCTTCACGTGATCTTCAAACGACTATCCAAGGTCAAACCAACGACACCATCTTATGTACCCCTCGAAGTCACAAAACTTTTGTCTGAAATATTTTTCTTTAAAATGTTGCGTTTACGAAAAAATTGGGTGAGACGGGTGGTCTGGGACACCCTGTATATCTTACGTAGCAAAAGTATCACAGTGTCACAATTATGCTGCTGTGTTAAAATTCTATTTTTAAAAAGAATATATATAACTTGAAGTTTGATTATGTCTATTTATAACAAATTATTTAAAAGAAAATTAATTGCTAAAATTTATACAATATAACATAATCAAGCTTTACGATGTATATATTTTAATTAAAAAATAAAATTGTAAGAGCAGCATAATTATGATACTGCGAAACTTTTGTTACGTAAGATATATATATCTTAAAGCTTCTAGAACGTATGTCCTTCGTTCCCACTTTGTTTGAATATAACCAAACCAAGTGAACGTAAAGCGATTGTTCCTCGAACGTTTACGTGTTGCTTGAGAGCATTACAATTTTAGCCGTTTATATTTAATTTGACGTAAATGAAAGAAACAGTATTGAAGGTTACCGCAAATAAATCTAATAAAAATTCAGAGACTGATGTAACATATTTACAGTTTTATTAAACTTAAGAACGTTTTATAAATATAGAAACATAGTTGTAAGCACCCTAATCATCTGAAATGTTGCTAAAGGATATTCAACCATCTGAAATGTTGCAAAAGGAGCCACAACAGAGAAAATTTTTTTAGAAAAAAAATTTTACTAATTAAACAGGACCACAAAATTGTTTTGGGAGTCTACTGGAATTCTAATAGGTATAATTTATGTTTTTGGGGTCGCTGAACACGAATCCATTAGCAAAATTGAGCCAGCACGTCAGAATTTGCAGTAAAATTAAAAAAATTGTTAAAAATCTAGAATTTCTGCATAAATTTCGTCCCCAGATGTACAAACCCCAAATTAACAAGTCCCAAACCCCAAACGCACAAACCCCAAACCCACAAACTCCAAACCAACAAACCCCAAACCCAAAAGCTCCATATCCACATTCCTACAAACCCCAAACCCACAAACCCCAAACCTACAAGCTCCATATCCGCAATCCCCAAACCCACAAATCTCAAACCTGCAAGCCCCAAACCCACAATCCCCAAATCTACAAGCCCCAAACTCTCACAAACTCCAAACCAAAAATTTATTCATTACATCACCACATTTCTCTCTCACTCTCCATCTTTCGTACTACTAACGACCCTTCTCACCTGTTTCCCCCGTCTCGGCTAACCTAAATCCTCACCTATCTTTGCCCTGCTTCTCTTTGTTACAATTTCCCTCTTTCCCTAACGCGCTCATCGCACCCATGTCTCTCTCCCTCTGTCTCTCTCACCTCTTTTTACCTTACAGAGAGCTGTGGACCCACTCGTAATATACTTCTATTTCAGACCATTTAATTCAATGAACTTACATTAGAAAAGGAAGTATCATATGTTTGCTGTATATTTAACATTTCAGCTTTAATCTTACTTAATTTAAGCGTTATCCGAAAACCACGTCTTGGGCATAATAAGTTCTATTTCGTTCTGAATGCTTTCTAAACTGAAATCCCTTTATCTTTCACAGCAATTGTTCTATTGTTTTAATGTATGTTTGTCTTATATATATTGAAGAAAATATTCACAGTAAATGTAACTTTTAAGTTTCTACGTATATAGGTTGGTGTGACGCACTTTTTTAACATTAGTTCCTAAACTTTTTTGAAATATAATATAGACTTTTTATATTTTACTATAAATTGAGCTTTTATTGACACCTGTGATTTTACATTTACTGATGTACGGCGTAAGTTTGAAATAAATTTATACTTATTTCCCGCATCATATAGGGTCTGCAATATCCTTTATGCTTATTTATTGGTCTTTTTGTTACTAGAGGTACTTTTTATGGGCTTGAAAAATTGTATTTTTATGAAAAAGTTATAATTCGAAACAGTAAATTAGTGTTTTCTGTTGATTTTATATCGAAATTTTATTGTAAGTGACTAAATTGTATTGCAATACTTGTCCTGAAGCTAGGAAAATATATGCGTTTTATTTAGCACTTTAAGTTCTTGTCCCATAAATCTTTTATTCAGAATATCTGTTTTTGAAGAAAAATCACGATGTGCACAAATAGTCCGGATGAGTTTTGTCTTGTTTGTGGAGAATTCGTGTTGAAAACAAACAGAAATATTTTTACAGATCATTATAAAACAATATATAACTCTTGCTATCCAAATGCTACGACTGATTTTGATAAGTTTTGGATACCAAATACTTTGTGCGCTTATTGTGCATTTCTTAGTACATAGCAAAAGGGATATAAAACAAAGAAACGCTTTAGTTTTCCTATGATCTGGCGAGAACCTGAGAATCATATAAATGACTGTTATTTCTGTTTAGTTTCTACAATTGGAT